TTACAACCTTTTTCCAAATGAAGTCCCTCGGTCGATGCGACCTGTCCTTCTACACCCGATATCATTCCATCCGCCTCTTCTGATGACCTGCTAAGTTCTCGATCGAACAACCTACGCCACCACTGTATCGTATCAGGCCCTCAAGCCGTGCACACCATCCATGTGTACAGGCGCTATAGCCAAGTGGTTACGGCGACAGATTAGAAATCTGTTACTCTTTGAGTGCGCAGGTTCAAATCCTGCTGGCGTCGATGGAGCCAATGCATCAGAAGCTTTTGTGCTTTTTAGGTTCTTTTAAAGAGGTAGTTATATCTGTGTTCTCTTTGCATGAATCGATGAATGGTTGTAAGCTGCCTATATATTTCCTATACACATTTTCAACTGCCCCAACACCGTATTTTGACTTCCCAGCCGCATCACTATTAGAACTAGGCATATCTCTGTCTTTCTAGGGTGTTTACTGAACGCAGTCAGGCCTGAATGGCCCCCTCACTTTCCCGTGTACAGGTGCTATAGCCAAGTTGTTACGGCGACAGATTCGAATAGGATGTACTACTCACATATTTTTCCAAGACATTTTTTCCTCTTTGAGGGTGCAGGTTCACATACTGCTGGCGTCGCATATATTCATTTTACCCTTTTTTCCATGAGACGTTGCGTCTTTTTTAAACTTGAAGTCACCCGAGAACTCACAGTAACCCACGTTGTGCAACACCGCAAAGATATCCAATTTCCAATTAAATCACATATTCTAAACTATTGATAGATACATAACACAACACAGCGATGAGCAACGGAGCCCATTTCAGAACTAGATAGAGATTTGAATGAGTTCGAATGGAAGGAGTATATAAGATGCCACGTACCCGTATTTGATAAGATCCGCTCGCTTTCGTGAGGTACCGGACCCACTTCACGCTCTGATAGGTGCTCTTCTCAAAGACCTTGAGGAAGCGAACGATGAGGCCCGATGAGGTGAACATAAGGACCTGGAAGTCGACGTCAATCGGCGGGCGGGCCCACACCTGGCGTGTGGTGGTGCTTGCCAAACTTGCAGTTCCGGTGAACGTGCACTCGGAGCCACCTTGGATTCGTGGTATTCTGTGAGGGGACTGTAAGAACGACAGAGTGATGCTTGGCACAGGAGCCGCACTCACTTCCACACAACGACATTCTCCGCCGGCACATATTTCGCCTTCCCATTGGCGACCTTGCAGTCTACGGTGGTGGTGTTGAGTGGCGTGGGTATCCGTAGTATAACGTTGGTCGCAGAAAGTTTGTTATTGAAGTTGGTTTTGACCGTGACCGCGTACGAGACCTGTGAGGTCCCTATCTCATTCACTGTGGGTATAATGCGCAATGGGAGCTTGACGTTCGACGTTGATCGGTATCTGATTTTGACACGCTCCAGGTGAATCGTCGGGACATTGTGTACTACATAGTAGCACTCACCGCATCAACTCGAATTCTCCATCTGGGGGTATGAAGCTGATCGTTCGGGTCGCATCAAAGTCGTTGAGCCGCACGCATTGGTGGAATCTGCAGTCGTCCAATTCGACAGCATCACTGATCCCTCGTTCGCTTTTGTCGATTACAAGCTTATCGTTTAGCCCGAATTTGCATTCTGGAGTTCCAGAGAGATAGGCTCGCATTTGAATATGGCCGTCCACGTCCGCTCGCAAAACAGTCCCTATACGTGTGGAGGTGAGAAGGTTAGTGGCGTCGGTAAAATTGGGAAGGCTCACCTTTGGCGCTCATGCTCAGATTGACTATCTCCACAACATCCACAAACGCCTCGTTCTTCTTGTACTTGACGTCGCCACGTCGCCAACTCGTTGCCCCAGTTGCTTGGGTTGTAATCTTCGAGGACTCCTCCTATACAACGGACGCAGTGAGTTGAAGTTGTCAACCTCGTAATTTACACACATACGGCAGCAATGGCAGATGACACCACGCTCTCAGTTGTTATATATGATTTGAGTGTGTCAATTTCGCTGTTCTGAGGATAACCAAAATCGCAGATTTCTGTGCCAGACTAGGATGAGTACTTGAAAGAGCGAATGTGGAAGGCACGAGCTCACCGTCAATGAGCTCGTAAATCAATGCGAAATTGTTTTTGACAGACTCCTCATCTATCTTTCCAAAGTATGCCTTGCAAATATTGATCAACTTGTAGCAGAACTCGAACACGAGGGCTGCGTTGGCATTATTCCTGGTACAATATCAGCAATGTTCAGTCATGGGCACCTTGCAACTACTTCGTGACCGCGACCACATAAAGGTTGTTGATCCTGACATGGAAGAAACTCGTTGAACCCAAGGTGATGATGGGCGACCTCACATCGCTGTTCGAAACGACTTGAATCCGGAAAACGTCCGCAATCGATCGTCTGGAAGATACGGCCTAATGAGCGCCTATACAGGTAGATATAAGTCGTGGTTCACACTTGAAGTCGGTCCGGTACAGTCTTGAGATCAGGACCTAGGTCTCATTGACATCCCATTCACATCGGAACCTACATCGAGCTGAACTCACCTCGCCCTTCTGGTTGAAAATAAAGAATGCCTGGGATACCTATAAGCTACAAATATAATCACAGTATGGAAACATACCGATATCATAGTACGGGAAAGGCGCAAATCTCAAGATAGCATTAACTGGGGTTGGTTGAGGGAACAGAAAGGCGGTGATCAAAACGTGATGACGCTTCCGTTTTGGGGGATCCTGTTGACCTCATGATCAACCACCATGTCGTCCAACTCTCACCACATCTCGGGTAAAGAATGCATTTCCAACGAGGCCCAATAATAATCTCTACCGGATTTTATGCTGCCCTTTTCGCATCGTCACGGACCATTCTCGGCGCAACATAGCCTATATAAATGACATTTTCACTTTTAGGAACCTGTAGGAACATAAAGCAACATGCCTGTCTCCGTCTATCGCCTTTTACCTGCTCTTCTCTGCACTTTGGGGGCCTTTCCAGTCTTCGGGAAGCTTACCTGGGGGTCTACCAAATTTTTATTCGCATTCGGAGACTCTTACACCACCGACGGTATGCCTTGCAATATCTATGTGTAAGGTCAAACCAAACATCTCAATAGGTTTCAATATCTCAGTTGGTGTTGATTCTGTGGTTCCCGGCTGGGTATGTTTGGACTATCCATATGTATCGCATTTCAAGTACTAACATTCACAAGACTTCATCCAACGGGCCGAACTGGGTTAACTTTCTTGGTAAACCACGGAAAGCAGATATCTGGGCTAAACTAATGATACGACAACAGGTGGAACCTATAACCAAACCGAGATCCAAGTCAGTTTTCCTCTTTTGTCTATTTTTCTGAGAAATTCAATTTGGCGTTGGCCACAATGTTAGGTTTTCGACCTTGCCTCAGGCGGTGCGACAATCGACGGCGCTTTAGTACCCCCTTATTTGTCGACTGTTCTGTAAGTTGTGTCTTTTGCGCCTGAACCCGCAGCCTCATTCTGCTCTAGTTCCATTGTCGACCAGGTCTCGCAGTTCAAAGAGATTATGGCGCCCAAGCCCTCAGGAGCTCGCTGGGACAGTTCTAACTCTCTCTTTGCATTCTGGATTGGTATCAATGATATTGTGAGTGCAACCTTGACAGAGATTCTATCTTCTATTGAACCGACTTTCAGGGCAATTCTTTCGGTTGGGCAAGTACACCTCTCCGCGAATACCCAAACTGAGGATCTTACTTTGATTATAGAAAAATATCACTGGCCATGAGCCTGCTTTTTATACTAAACTCATGACGCGCCTAGATAGCCAGGTACGTTCCTTATTCATCAACAACCGTTAGTCAATCCTGAATATCAATTGAAGCTTGAAATCCTCTACGATGAAGGCGCCCGTTCCTTTCTTTTCCTTACCGTCCCCCCTACCGACCGTGCCCCACTGTTCTACCAGCAAGGTTCCAAAGTTACTAACCGACTCCATCCTTTGATTGCAAATTACAATGCCCAGCTGGCCACTACCGTTTCTCGTTTCCGCGCCAGGCATCACGACGTTGACCAAGTGACGGTTTTTGATACCCAACCAGTCTTCAACGCCCTCCTCGATAATGCCAAGGTTATGGGCTTTGTAAATGCTACCGGGTGGTGCGAGTCGTATCAGAATGGAACCCCGGAAAGGAACACGCAAATCAGCCCTTGTGCTCCTGTGTCAAGCTACTTGTGAGCGCGCCTACCTTCAACTTTCATTGTATTTCTGATATATTCCCGATTCTCGTAGTTGGTTGAACTCCTTGCACCCCTTGTTTACTGTTCACGAGTAAGTCTAATTAAGCAATTTTGTCAGCTCTAGGATGGACTTAAATGCCGTAATAGGATTGTTGCGCGTGGTATCGCTACTTCGCTCAGTGTCTAATGGACGTCATAGGGCTCAAAGTACTTCAATAGTAGTGGTACAACCTAAACTTGATGTTCCTCCTTCCTACGAGAAATCTGAGCTAACTTAAAAAGATCCCTAAACTACGTGAGGTGCTGTGGGGTGACCGTCATTTTCATCCACCGCCAGCAAGAACAAGGTCAATTCTTACCTGACGCCACCCCTGGAAAGTGGGAATCGGTAACCTCCTCTATTGGAGCTCCTAGACAAATGTTATGGTGGAGAGGGTCTCTTGTGTGCCTATTATCCCTCTCCTCATCATGACTAATTGTCGCTCAATCCAAGTCGTAGATATCGTTTCCTCTTCGTATACTCCGAGCTTCGTATTGCGGTATACCCGGCATGCCATCATATTTGTGAGGGCCACGTTGCAGATGGTAAAGGCGAAGCGATATGCAAACGGAACTCCATTGATAAAAGTCAACAAAACAATAGTTATGTTCGCAGTCACTGACACCCTGGAAATGCCAGAGGGGAAAATGAGTATATTCGCAATTTTTGGGCAGAACTTGGAAGCTATTGCTTACAGATAGGATATCTGGCCATCACGAAAGAGAGCCCTTGAAAATGCCGGTAGATGTCGGCCTTTCAGGACTCTGAAAATTCCAACTCCAGTTTGATAACTTGGTGGCAATTGTGTGCAGCGAAACAAACGCCACGAAACAGCGAGAAACACGCAAGTGTCGTTCAGCGCGAATGTTATCGGTGCCACACCCGAATACGCGTTGAGATACACTGGGATTACAGTGAAAGAGCTGCTGTGGAGGCCAAGGATTCCAAATACGGAGCCAACCAATGAGCCACCAAATACAGCGAGCCAGAGGAGAAAAAAGAGGGCTACAATGTACTTGTTGTTGTCGAAGACTGCTCGAGCACGGAGGAAGAAGAGGAAGGCGGTAGAGGAAAATGTGAGGTTGTAAAGCAGCCACGATGCCTCCGCATTGGGGATTCTTCTCAGATCGAAGGAAGAAACTAGAGGTCATCATTCGTAAGGAGGCCCAATTTCAAATAACCAACGCACCTGGAACAACGGTATTGGAGAGAAGATATGCGCTGACACTGAATCTGATGAACAAACATTGAGACTTCTGAAGTGTGAGTACTACGAAACTACGCCGCTCATACCTAGAGAAGAAATATGCGTATGTAGGCAGAGATAATTTCCGGTGAAACAAGAGTTGGAAATGGTTGTCTAGATTGAGCAG